TCTTTTTGCTTATGTGGTGCTGAGGAATTGAACCCAGGGCCTCAGGCATGCAAGGCAAGTGCTCTACCACTGAGCCACCTTCCCAGCCCCTGATGAGTTATATTTTGAAACATTTTTTTTCCCTGGTAATTGAGCTATAACTGTAACCCCTCTGTACATCACCTTTACAATAAAATAAAATAAAACAAGAATATTGTAGGCTGGATGCTGGTGGTTCATGCCTGTAATCCTAGTTACTCAGAAGGTTGAGACCTGAGGATTGATGTTCTAAGGAAAGTCCATTAGACTCTTATCTTCAATGAACTACCAGAAAACCAGAAGTGGCGCTGCGGCTCAAACTAGTTAGAGAGCTAGCCTTGAGCAAAAGAACTCACAGACAGCACCCAGGTCCTGAGTTCAAGCCTCATAACCAACCAAAAAAAAAGCAATATTGTTAAAAAAAAAAAACCAAAACAAAACTCCAGAGAAAGACTGACTTACGGATGTTTGTGTGGCTGAGTGGACATTTTTTTGATCAGAGGGGCCAGCTTTAAGGTTGATTGTAGCTCAGTGCTAGAATGCTGGTGTAGCACACTAAGTGCCTGAGGTTTGACGCCCCAGCACTAGGAGAGAGGGAAGGCCATGGAGAGGGAAGAGCCAGGCTCAGAAGGCGGAAGCTTATCCCACACTAGGCAAGTACTCTGCCACTGAATTTTATCACTAGCCTGGGGAGTTCCTTTTTGCAGAAGAAAAAAGAATCAAAGTAAAGGTTGAGGAGCGTAGAGAGACATTTAAAGAACCCTTTACTGCTTAGTCTGACCTGGGGGGTCGGGGGAGGAGAACGGGAGAGAATGCACACATGTGTGGGAGACACAGGCAGACAGACGAAACAGGGAGAGAAAACAGGCAGAACTGTGGGATGGTTTGCATTCTTCTGACAACAGAATTGAGAGGAGCCAAGAACATAGTAGGCATCTGGCCAACTGTGGAGATGAGTGCAGTTAAGGTCTTGGTCCAGGCTGAGCGTGTGCGTGCTCAGACTCTGGTTCCTCTGGCAGTGGGATCCCTTCCTATCAGAATGACATTATGGTGAGAAAAGACTTGGGCATATTAAAGCACATTAATTAGAGGAAACACACAGATGCTCTGGTTCGCTCCACTGTGGAGGGAAGAGCGTAGGAGGGTTTGGGCTGTCATGCTGGTGATGGGGGGGGCTTGCACAGCTCACTGCTTGGAGAATGCTTTCGGGCATTCCCGATGGAGATCGGTGGCTTCTGGAGATTTTGTTCTTGTCAGAATTGATAGTAAATTGTGTAGTTACTGGTCTTAGCTGTTTTCCTTGTTCTTAACGGTAGTGCTCTGAAGGTTCTGTGGGCTGGGGAAGTTGGCTATTTCTGGTCTAACAGCTTGTTTAGGTTGCTGTGGTTGGGGCCCTATTTGGGTGGCATTTCTGCCCTTCCTTGAGCATTGGAGCTGCAAGGTGAGAGGTGAAATAAATCACCAACACCTACCACCCTTGACTTGTCACCTCTGTCCAAATTTTGGGTCTTTCTGGGTCTGCAAAATGATGTGATAAAGGCCTGGTTTTGTTAGAGATGATGTAGCAATGTATTTTGAGAGGATAGTAGCTTAGACCTTTATGATTGGTGTTTATAACCATTTGTGTAGAATTACTAGATATTTAGGTGGGTGTTTGTTTACAGAAGACATCTGCTATCTTAGTACCTACACATTTTTAATGCAAAAGGAACAAGTTGGTCTTAGATTTTATTTGTGTGTGTGTGTGTGTGTGTGCACGCGCACGCGCGCGTGTTCATGCATGCATGTATGCATATGCTGGGCTGGGGCTTGACCTCAGAGCCTGAGCGCTGTCTCTGAGCTCTTGTGCTCAAGGCTAGCGCTCTGCCATGTGAACTGCACCTTCACTTCTGTTTTTTGGGTGCTTAATTGGGGATAAGAGTCTCATAGACTTTCCTGCTTGGGCTGACTTTGAACTTGATCCTCAAATTTCAGCCTTAGCTAGAATTATAGGCATGAGCCACTGGTGCCTGGCTTATGTGTGTGTTGAATTCTTCTCTCAGCTATTCTCTTTGACACACCTGCCATTTAGATACCAAGAATACTGAGTTATTGAGTCTAATAATATTGGATTTAGTTACCTGCAGTACCAGTGGTGTAATAATCTAAAATACCCACTGGATATCCTGTCACAAGCTTGCTTTAAAAAATTCATCGACCCCATCATTGCTTTTCTTATCAAGTCTAACTGTAGCTTTCAAAATGCCTTGTGGTCCTGCCCACTGTATCTGTAACTGCTACGTCACACAGGTTTCTCGCATTTTCCTTTGTCTTGGGAACATTTCTTTTTCTTCCCCTCTTCTCTCCACTAACACACGCCCTCCATAATTCTAGTCTCAGCGCCCACTACAGCGTGTCTCCCCCTCAGCTTCCTCACCTCCCCGGTCCCTCGTCCCTACGCTCCTCAGCCCGCACCGCCGAACTTCACTGTCACCAGTCTTACTCTACGGGACTTCTTGGAGTGCCTTCGTTTTTAATCCTCTGATAACAAAAGTTATGGCTGAGGGAGCGTGGAGGAAGGGGTGACATTGTCCAAACTCTTTATTCTTTTTTTTTTTGTCGGTCGTGGGGCTTGAACTCTGGGCCTGGGCGCTGTCCCTCAGCTCTTCAGCTCAAAGCGAGCGCTCTACCACTTGAGCTACAGTGCCACTTCCGGTTTTCTGGTGGTTTATTGGAGATAGGAGTCTCACGGTCTTTCCTGCCCGAGCTGGCTTTGAACCGCGATCCTCAGATCTCAGCCTCCTGAGTAGCTAGGATTACAGGCGTGAGCCACCAGCGCCCAGCTCAAACTCTTTATTCTTTACCTGACTTATTTAACCGTAACTTTTACAAAAAAAAGAGGCATGGTATGGGTGTTTTCTTTCTGTAACACATAATACCTCTTAGGCACTTGTATTTGGTAATATTTGAATATGTGTACAAATGAGCTCTTGGTATCTCTTTCCTTGACATACACATTTTGAAAGTAATGAGAGCTAATCAGTATGAGTTGTAGCAAGGGGCATGTTCACAGAGGTTTTGTTTTGGCCCATATTTGATGTCAGTGTAAGCAAATGCAATGTGGTTGCGCTGATAAAGTCAGTCCTATAAGGTGTTCTTGACTTCCTTCTGCAGTGTATGCCATCCGGGAAGCAGCTACCAATAACCTCATGAAATTAGTTCAGAAGTTTGGTACAGAATGGGCCCAAAATACCATCGTTCCTAAAGTGTTAGTAATGGCGAATGACCCCAATTACCTGCATAGGATGACCACTCTGTTCTGCATCAATGTGAGTATTATATCCCTGTTCTTGATAAGTTTGGGCATTAAAGCAATAATAAGGGTATCATTTACATGTCTGTATTGCTGTTTGAATGTACTACCTTCTGTTTTGGATATATGTACTATATAGATTAATGTGGACAATTTAGGAGCTGAGAGAAAAGGCTGATTTTTAAATTCCTGCTAAAATTGGGTGGTAGTGGTTGAGAAGCTGCTATGTAGTGTGAGTCCTGGTGGAGTTTTCCGGCCTTTTGTCCTTGTGTGCCTCATGCTAGAAACAATTTCTTGTCAGGAATGTTATTATTTGTCTCACTCAATTTTGGATTTTTTTCTTTTAAATGTGTCACCATGTTTATTTTCTAGGCACTGGCAGAAGCCTGTGGTCGGGAAATAACTACCAAGCAAATGCTGCCCATCGTCTTAAAAATGGCAGGAGACCAAGTGGCAAATGTTCGTTTCAATGTAGCCAAATCACTTCAAAAGATTGGACCAATTCTAGATGCTAAGTAAGATTGCAGTATTTTTATTTTAAAAGTATATTTTAACACCTTGTAGTCGGGAATAATGGCTTAAACGAAGTTCATTGACTGTTACTTTACCTAAAATATGGACTTCTCTAAAGAAAATAATTTAGCTATCATTTTTCGGAGTGTGCACTGTGACTTTTTTTTTTTTTTTTTTTGGTCGGTCATGGGGCTTGAACTCTGGGCCTGAGCACTGTCCCTCAGCTCTTCAGGTCAAGGCTAGGGCTCTACTACTAGAGCCACAGCGCCACTTCCAATTTTCTGGTGGCTTATTGGAGATAGGCGTTTCACAGCTTTTCCTGCCCTGGCTGGCTTTGAGCCGAAGTCTTCAGATCTCAGCCTCCTGAGTAGCTAGGATTACAGGCGTGAGCCACCGGCACCTGGCTTTGCACTCTGACTTTTGTATATACATTCTATATACGCATAGATGACGGAAGCCAGTTTTACTGATCCTAAGTATTAGAGAATGTTTTTTACGTTAACCTTTAAAAATCACCCCGGGGCTCCCTGGGTTGTTTCACAGAAGCTACTTTTGCATGTCAGTGCTTTGCAGGGAGAAGTGAAGCCGGTGCTGCAGAAGTTAGGTCAGGATGAAGACATGGACGTCAAGTACTTTGCACAGGAAGCTATCAGCGGTATGTGTTTCCGCCGTCATGTCAGTGGGGTTTGGGGAAGGAGGAGGTTGAAGTGACTGGCAGCAGCGAGGGTGCTGAGTGCTTGGGATGCCGAGCTCCCTCTTCGGTTGGAACTTTCTTGGTCTTCCACGCGGCCCTAGGTGAACAGGCCATTTCCTCGGTTCCCTGTCTAGGACTGAGTGGGGTTATGATTCTCATTGGTAGGAGCAGTTTTCAGTTTGGACTTTGACTTAGTCTTTCAAGTTTAACTTATGATTAGCCTGGGAGAATGAAAGGACAGACCACAGCCATAGAAAGAAATTGACTACGATGAGAAGGTCTTGCTCTCATGTTGTTGGATCATTGTTAGATGCTGAAAATTCATCCAGCATTCTTGAACTTTCTGTACCACTAACCTTGATTTTGTTTGGAATTTTCCAGTTCTGGCGTTGGCATAATGAACAACAGGAGGGAAAAGCCTTTACTAAATAATTATCACAGATTTCTAGTCAATGTGTTCTTAACCTGGGAGGAGAAAAAAATGGAAAACCTTCAAGATCTCTTCCAAGCAAATGGCAACAACATAGAAGAAATCAAATTCCAGTAACTTTCTAAAGATGAAATGAGATTGTTTTTTTCATCTCTTTGTTGGGATAATTATTTCAGGATTTCCTATTGACTGATACTTCCTAGTTCCTGATAGCACAGTCAGCTCGTGATTGTCTCTTAAAGATTTTTCCTGCACTGTTGGGCTCTTGCCTCCTTGCTTCTGGATCAAGCCGCAGCCGCTTCCCGTCCAGAGCAAAGTCTGGATGGGTGTGCACGCAGACTTGGAGCGGGGTGATTCTCCTGTTGTTTACATAGGTCTGTGTGAGCTTCTCCATCATTCCAAAGTTAAATGTAAATGGTTTAGGATAACTTATTTTATAAATTCTCTACTGGGGGATATATCGAGATGTCACTGTAAGGAAAACCACGTTTTCCTGGGTTCTGATGGGCTGCTCCAGTGTCTCACAGGAAAGGGGAATGTGGAAACTCAGGGTTAACATGTTGGTTGATCTGCTTTGTATTTGCTTGATTTCGTCTGTAATCATGACATTGAGAAACTTGAAGTGTTGGATGTATCTTGCTGCTAATGTGTGACGTTGACACCTAACCATTTCAATGGCTTGCCATTGTGACTGCCGTAAATTCTCTCTTCTCTTCTGAGGAGCTTCCACCGTGCTCCTCCTACAGCGCAGTAGTTGTACTGTCCTACAACTGCAGGACTGCAGTTCGTCTTTGGAATGAGTGGTGGACCCCACCACCCCACCTTGCGGGTTTCCCAGACTGCCCGGCTCTGCCCCCCACAGTGCGGATGTCACGCTCCAACTCAGGTTTCGTTGCTAATTTTTTGGTACGGGTGATGCTGGAATCTTATTTGAAGTGTTTACTTTTCTACTTTTACAGTAAAACCTCATTAATTCCTCCTGGAATTTAAGGTAGTAAGTTGGGCTAAAGGATTCGCTGAAGCAAATGAATAGCCTGCAAGAAGCCTGTTCATACACGTCACCAGTTTTAAAACTCGCGTGTCATTTGCCAGCAGACATGCAGCCCCCATGCAGTTACTTGCAGTTACTTCACATGCTTCCCTGGGGGTCTCTAAGAGCTCCCATCTTTTTTTTTTTGCTGAAGACAGTGTGCTTTTTAATCCTTGAAATATATGCATTTATATTTCATGAGAGTTTATGTTTCTTGCAAATAAACGTGTTTTTCACCTAATCAAACTGTGTGGCTAACAAATTCTAGTTAATGAGGTCTTACTATAGTATAGTTTTCTCTCAGTGCTTCTTGTTGTAGTTGGGTGTTAGTTACTGTTTTGGTTTTGGAATTCATTTCATTTGCTGCCTCTTTTAAATCAACTAAGCTGTTTTGTTTTATGAAGGTCCAAAGACACCTATATAACTTATTAAACAATTATATAAACTGAATTGGAGTAAATGCTTTCAATTTTGTTTTACCTTAGAAAAACAGAACAAAATATAAATTAGAAACGATCAGCCTGCATTGTAAATGTAAATTGCCTGTAGTTAGGTGGCTCACGCCTGTCATCCTAGCGACTCAGGAGGCTGAGAGCTGAGAGCTGTGGTTCAAAGGCAGCCCGGGCAGAAGAGTCCCCATGAGACTCTTATCTACAATTACCCACGCAAGAGCTAGAAGTGGGGCTCTGTGGCTCAAGTGGTACAGCACTAGCCTTGAGCACAAAGAGGTTCAGGGACAGTTCCCAGGTCCTGAGTTCAAGCCCCAGGACTGGCAAAAAAAAGTTTCTACATTTTCATTTTACTGTCTCAAACTGTTATGTTACAAACACTTTTAGTTTTTTTTTTTGTTTTTGTTTGGTCGTGGGGCTTGAACTCTGGGCCTGGGCGCTGTCCCTCAGCTCTTCGGCTCAAGGCGAGCGCTCTACCACTTGAGCTACAGAGCCACTTCCGGTTTTCTGGTGGTTTATTGGAGATAGGAGTCTCACGGTCTTTCCTGCCTGGGCTGGCTTTGAACCGCGATCCTCAGATCTCAGCCTCCTGAGTAGCTAGGATTATAGGCGTGAGCCACGGGCGCCCGGCACACTTTTAGTTTTATGAATATTTATGACCTACATGTTTGCTCTCATTGAAATTCATATTTGAGAGAATTTAGCATTGGAGCCCTTGTGCTCATCTGATACCACACTACTTTGTGGATAGACTCCGTTACCCTTGGGCCCCTCCCCCAAGCTATATGCACTTACTTTCCTGGCCTGAGACTAGAAGGGAGAGAGTGAAGGCTTGCTTCCTCAAATGTGGACCCCTAAGGGACTTCATTATTTCTTTCTGACTTAAGTAGGAGGAATTGCTCTTTGCCTCCTAATATGGGCATTCTGAAAATGTGTTCTTTTCCTGTCCTGATTTCACCAGTCCTCTAAAGGCAAGGGTTTCTTTTCGTGCTCTATCACCAGTGATGGCGTACAAAGTAGGTGCTCAGTAAAATGCTTGCGGATGAGTTGCATGTGTGGAACAGAGCCATAAAGAGGCTGAATTATCTCCTACCACTGACACAGATTTTTCTGCTCTTAGGAAATAAGTTTTCTGGTGGCTCTCTGCCAGTCCCTGGCTTAGGCAAGAGTTCCTTGTGGATTTGTCTGATTGCCTTCCTTGAACACACATTGCTGCTGTCTTTGATCCTGGCCAGTTTGTACCCATTGTTTGGTTTATTAGGAAAGGGAAGCGTGGACATACACACATTTGGCCTAAGCCAATAAGGTTTCCTGAGCAGTGGGATTTACCTTAGTGATTCTACATGCGTATGGGGTCTACCTCTCCTGGGCTTAAGAGATGAGATCTGATCTTGGACTGTGCTGCTCTGGAGATAAGAACCTGAAGGTGCATCCTGTTTCCTAAGAATAAGCAGATCCATGTGTGGTTTTGAAAGAGGCCTCTGGAAGTGAAGGCAGCCCTCAGCTCCCGGAAGTTGCACAGCTTGGCCCCTGTGGTCCAGGCCCTGGGGGTCTCTGCAGGACACCTTGTCCTGACTCAGCGGTCTGACCTTTGAGCTGTCTTGTCCAAGCACCCAGGATGCTTGCACAGATCTCTGCGGGACCTCCGCCATTCCTGACCCCCTGGTTCCAGTCAGGGCCTGTGGCCCTGTGCTGTGCCTCACATGAGGCCATGTATTGGAGCTGAACCTCAAGCCTGGTATTTCCTTGTAGAAATCGCATTGGTTCCATGCCCACAGGGATGCAGGCAAGGTGGCCAAACAAGTTTGGGTGCTGTCCTGCTTAACTCCTCCAGCCCTGTTCTTTTGGCACCCTTACTGTACAGCCTGATTGAAGACAGACAGGAAGGCCCGGATGCCTAGAGCCCTTGTCTACCAGGAAGCGATTGTCTTCCTGTGCTTCTGCGCCCTTTCCACCCCGTGCCCCTTTCCCAGCTTCTCTGCCTGGTGCGGTCTAGTGCCCATTCCTCGGGTGCTGCCTCCGGTGCCGCCGCTTCTAGGAAATGACATGGTGTGCAGCTGAGATGGAGATCTGGAGGATGAAGAGTTCGGTTACTCACTGGAGAACAAAGCCAAGGAATCACTCTTCCCAGTTGTCTGATCTTTTCTGTCTGTTCAGGGCTCTAGACGGTCAGTGATCAAGATGTGGGGGTCCCCTCGGTGGATGCTTCCCAGGGAAAAGCATCTGAAGCCAGACCCCAGACAGCTGGCTTTCCCTGCCCAGCCCCCCCCCAACCTCATAGCTAGGGCTTCCCATCCGATGCCAGTGCGGTCAGGGCTGTCCAGCATCACAGAGGTTTGGGTGGACTTGGGGTGGGGTGGGGGGTGATCTGTTCAGGGACAGCCGCAGGGCTGCTTCTGCATCTTTAGTGGTGGCGCAGGGGCTGAGGAAGCCAGATCTGCCTGTGGAGGACAGTGAGGCGCCCGGTGCCCCTTGGGGCTGACCCGAGTGACTTTCTGAGACTTACAGGGCCTGCAAAGGACCCTGGGAAGGTTAAGTGCTCCAAAAACCTGGGGTTCAGGGAGCCAAAGTGACCTGGGGATCATGGCAGGACGGGGCACAGAAGTGGGTATTTCCTGCTCTGTCCTGGGGCACAGCTGACATCCAGGGCTTGTTTTGGGGTGAGTGACTTGCTATCCTGAGCTCTGTCACCTGAGGCCCCTCCCCCAGCAGTCAGCCCTGGTGGAGGGTTGTGGTCGTGGATGGGGTGTTCCACTTCCTCCCAGGCTGGAACGTTTCTGGCAGTTCTCCCTAGTCATTTCCATTCCAGCTACGAGTCCTATCTGTGTCACCGAGCTTTACGAGCGCGAGGATGCACGACCTGCGCTGAGCACTTGGTGTGGGCCAGGGCCATCAGCAGAGGCTCCTTTAGAGGCCTTGGAAAGGCACAGGCCCTTGGATGCCATGGTTCATCAGGCCACATTTTACTGGGATGAAATTAACTTGCATTCTCACATCCACCCTGGTGGGCTGGCTGGGTGGGAAAAAAAAAAAGTGTAGCCTTTTACATCTCCCTGTGTGGGGCTGGAGTTCATGTGCTTTTCCTGTCCATTTTCGCCTTGTGTCTAGCTTTCCCGTGCACAGGGCCTGAGCCGCAGCCAGGCGTGCGCAGTGGGGGCAGCTCTGGGTGTCATGCGCCTTGTGCCTGGGGCTCAGCCTAGGCCTCAGCAGACACACACACACACACACACACACACACACACACACACACACACACGTGCACAGACACACACACGGGCACAGGTCCCAGCTGCCAGCCCTTCTCGTATGTCCACTGCCTTGACCTTCCTGGAGGAAAGAGACCTTGGCTAAAGGAGAAGACCTTCGTTTCTAGGCCTAACTCACAAGAGGTTTGAGGGAGGAAAGAAGTTACGTTTTCCTCCCAATTCGGGGCCATTAAAAAAGCGCGGGGCAGCTGAGGCAGCTCGGACAGCCCGGGCTGCCGCTCCTTGTCAAGCCCTCAGCCAAAGCTCGTTTAATCCTTAACCTTGAGGTGCATGGCTTTCCAAGTTTCAGGTGCTCACGAAGCTCCCCTAGAGGCCAGCCACGCTAGCTCCCCCGAGAACGGGGCTCACGGATGACAGAAATATCCCCTGGCCGGTGACTTGGGCGCCTTCCCTGCATTTGTTTCTCTGAAGGCAAACAACCCGGGGGTGCTGCGAAGACAGTTCGTCCGTTGCCAGGCAGAGCCTTGTGTGTCAGGGGCCGCGGTTGGCAGTCAGTGATCCAGGAAGTCATCCCGTCGCAAAGCCGCCTCTCGTTAACCCCTCGCCGCCTGCAGTGCTCTGCGGCTGCAGCGTGTCCGCATGCTGTGACTGTGGGACTCGGCCTCAGAGTCCCGGGAGCCACTTGATTGACATCTCAGGGGCAAGCGCCGGCTCCTCCAAAGTCGGCTGAGGTTCTCTGGACTCGAGGACGCATGCGTCCCCGCGCAGGACCTGCTGAAGGCCCGCAGGAGCCACCTCTCACCCCTGGCCACCGGCCACTGTCATCAGCCCAGCCCAGCCCAGCCCAGCTCCTGCCTCCCAGGCGCCCCGCAGGTGTTGCTCCCGGGCAGGCCGCAGTCAAGGGAGAGTTAACCCTGGATTTGTTTATGGAATCACAAAGTAGCTGTCACATGATTTTAATCAAAACACCATTTCCCTGACAACAGTGATGTCAGTCTTGTTATTGCAGGAAGGAGCAGCTGCGGGCCCAGGTTTGGAGAGTCAAATCCAGTGAAGCATCCATAAATAATGGCAGCAGACGCACTGCCGGCTGGCGGGATCCACCCTCCTCTTCCTTTTCTTCGCTCTGGACAGTGTGTCCTGTACAGAGGTTGACCAGAACCCAGCCTCGGCGCAGACTTTTTACTTGCTTATCCCTTGCTTTACGGCTGCTTGGTTCTGTTTTTTCCATTTCCCCCCAAACTCAGTCCCTGGAGGCCCTGCCTGTGCCCTGCTGGCGCTGTCCCCTCTAGGATCTGGACCCACTTGTTGCAGATTCGGTGGTTGTGGCTAGCTTCGGCTGGGGCCACTCTGCCCAAGCACCTGGCTTGTTCCCCAGATCAGGGGGTGGACATGTGGTCTTAAGGTGCCAGGAGGAATTGTGAGGAGCTCAGTTCTGGAGGCCACAAGGGCCGAGCCTCAGCCCGGGCACTGGTGCTGTTGAGCCCGGATGACAAACGAAGGGCCCATTCTAGTCAGGACTGGGAGCAGAGGCCGAGGGAAGTTCAAAGTCGCTCCTCTCCTGCCCCTCGTCTCCAGCTCAGGGAATTGGACCTCAAAGGCCACCCAGAGGTCAGTCTAGCCTGGTCTCACGGCCAGCTGGAGCAGTGTCCTCAAAGCTGTGGCCTGCTGTCTGTCCCTCTCCATGGGACTAGAGCAGGCTCTGCACAGAAGACTCACTAGGCACCCAAGTGTTTGACCTACAACTTGGGAGACTAAAAAGGCTTTCTAGGTGGGATATAGCTTCCTTGATCATGTCGGGGGATTCCCTGAATCCATCTCCCCAGATCCAGAAATCCTAGGGCAAAGGTTTTGTGGCTTAACCTGCAGCAAGAGGTCACACAGTAGGGCTGCAAGGAAGTGATTTCACAGGCCCCACACAACCTGCTTCTGGTTCAGAGTTGAAGCAAGAGGAGCAGAATGGTTCGTTACAGGCCGCGGAGGGCAGCTAGTGGTCTGGGTGTGTTTGCGATAGCTCAGTGCCATGCCAGGCTGTGTTGGACTTCCTGAGGCTGGAGCTGGGCCTGCCATTCTGTTCTGTCACCCTAGGAGACTCTGGGCCTTTCTCAAGTGCTTTGCCTGGGTCAGTGGCTGGGCTGGGCGCCATCCCAGGGCTTCTTTGTGACCTCCTGGATGTCCTGGCAGGGACTGGATGGGCACCGCCCTCCTGGAGTGCCTTCCTGGCAGATTGGCTGTTGTCTCCGGCCTCGCTCGCCGCTGGCCTTTCATCTCCGAGGCCCTCGGGCTGTCTGCCCACCCTTTGGCTCCCATTTTGCTAACAATGTAGGTTTCTATCATGACCAAAGGCAGGTCCAGGAGGTCCCGGCCTGGCCAGAGGCAGGCCTGAAATGGGAGGAAGGGCTTGGGGGCTTTTGCTTAATCCACTCTGTTCCACCCCAGCTCCCACAGTGTGAGCATTCCCAGGCGTCTCCGGCCCCCATTAGTCCATCTTTGGGGAATGAGGAGGAAAGGCTGAGTCAGAAGCGTTCAGGGCCTGTGTGAGGAGGAGGGTGACTCAGTTCTCCCTCAGAGAGCCAGACGCCTTCATGCCTCGTCTCTGCATGGTCCGCCCAGCCAGTCGTGGCCGGCTGCAGCACGAGCGACCTCCATGCAGGCTTCCTTCCTTTCCAGGACCCAAGGCTGGTGCGACCCAGGCTTGTCACCTCTCTCGGCCAATTTCAGGAGCGCGTGGTCAGGTGTCTCAGGCTCGCTGCGTCCTCTGGGCGTCTGCAGGGCGCCGCGGGCTCGGGCGCACGGGCAGCCTGGGCTGCCGCAGCAGGAAGGCCGCCGATGCTCTGCTCCGCCTGACCACGGGCGCGGCCTCGGCGCTCTGCAGTGCTCGCTTCGTCCCCACGGCGGTTCTGGGTCCGAGGTGAGGGTCCAGCCCGCTCAGTGTGGTCATGGGTCTCCTGGGGTGGGGTGTTCCCTGGCGTGGGGAGGGCAGGGCCGCCCCCAGGCGGGGCAGCTGAGCGCTGACCTCGCGCAGGGGTTCCCACGCCGCGGTTCCTTCCCGGCCGGCCACTCGGGGAGCGCTCGCCGTGTCCTGGGTAGGGAGGGGCCCCGTGAGACCGGGTCCCTCACACGCGTGGAGGCTGAGCCGGGGTTCTTCCTTAGGGAGCCCAGGCTGCCCCCCTGGGAATGGCCTATCCCAGGCCAGCGTGTGTGAAGGTGTTTTTTTGGGGGGTGGAGGAAGAGTCCAGAGGTTTCTTCAGGTGTCAGAGGAATCTAAGGCCTCCGTGGAAGAGCTGGTAGGGCAGAAGCAAGCAGCTCCTTGGGCCACGGAGTCAGCGCCCGTGGGAGGGTGGGCAGTGCTGCTGGCGGCTGGCGCTGCAGCCTCTGCTGTCCCTCGCCCGCGTGGAGCCCGTGGCAGAGGCCGCCGAGGCGGAGCGGGCGGCTTGCTGTGCGGCCTGCTCCTGCGGCCTGCTCGTGTGGCTTGCTATGCGGCCTGCTCCTGCGGGTTGCTCGTGGCCTGCTCGTGTGGCCTGCTGTGCGGCCCGCTCCTGCGGGTTGCTGTGCGGGTTGCTCATGGCCTGCTCGTGGGGCCTGCTGTGCGGCCTGCTCCTGCGGCCTGCTCGTGGGGCCTGCTGTGCGGCCTGCTCGTGTGGCTTGCTATGCAGCCTGCTCCTGCGGGTTGCTCGTGGCCTGCTGTGCGGCCTGCTCGTGCGGCTTGCTTGGCTGCAGAACCGGCCCGCCTGTTGTTCTTGCCTATACTCTGGGGCACTGGGCTTGGTTTTGGCAACACATGAAGATGATGGGGAAATTCAGTGGGAAAGGAGAAAGCTTGCAAAACAGTGACTGGAATGCGCTGTTTTTCCTTTTTTTGGGGGGTGGTGGTACTGGTGCTGGTGCTGTGACTTGAACTCAGGACCTGAGTGCTGTCTCTTAACTTTTTTTTTTGTTCAAGGCTAGCATTTGACTTGAGTCACAGCTCTACATTTGACTTTTTGGTAGTTAATTGGAGAAGAGTCCCATGGACTTTACTGCCTGGGCTGGCTTTGAACCATGATCCTTAGGTCTCAGCTTCCTGAGCAGTTAGGATTACAGGCACGAGCACCAGGCTTGGAGGTTTTCTTAAAAAACAAAACAACCGGGCTGGGAAGTTGGCTCAGTGGTAGAGCGCTTGCCTTGCATGCCTGAGGCCCTGGGTTCGATTCCTCAGCACCACATAAGCAAAAAGAAAAAAGCCGGAAGTGGCGCTGTGGCTCAAGTGGTAGAGCACTAGCCTTGAGCTGAAGAGCTGAGGGACAGCGCCCAGGCCCAGAGTTCAGGCCCCACGACCGGACCCAAAAAAAAAAAAAACAACCCACAGGCTGCTGAGGGGCCGGGAGCCATCGGGGGCCCCAGTGGGCTCGCTGTCTGCCTGGTGGTGAGAGGTGGCTGGGCAGCATGGCGTCCACAGCGAGGGCTCTGCTCGCCCGGCCCCACGCCGCCCGCCTGCGTCTCCTCGCCCTGCAGCCCCGGGCTTCCTCGGCCTGGGAACTGTCCCAGTTCTCTAACCCGGGCTCAGCAGAATGGTTTGAGTGAAACCAAATCTCAGCTGAATTTGCTGCCAGAAAGCAGCTTAATCCCACCCTTCATGCTGGGTCTGGCCCTCAAGTTGAACGGATGTGAGCGGCCGGGCACGGGGACCTGAGGGCACGGGGCGCCTGTCTCAGGGACAAGCGGGGTGCGCAATGTGAGCCTCAGGCGGATCCTGGGAGAGAGGCGCGGCCGTCACTGAGCGGCAGCGTCCTGCCGGCCCTCCTGGCAGCTCGGAGCATCACCCCTCCCAGCCCTACCTGCGGCCCGGCAGCTGGCTGGCTGTGGGGGAGCTGCTCTTGTGGCCCAGGGTCCTTGCCCAGACTACCTGGGCCAAGAGGCATTACTGAGGCCCAGAGGTCCTGTCCGCACAGAGCTGTGGTCAGCAGTGCTTCTGTCAGCGATCTGCTGCGGCGTGCGTGTTCTCAGGCAATCCAGAGCAAGGTGTTATTTACCCTGCTGACGTCAATGAGAACATGTTATCCACTGTCCTTCCCTGCGGCCCGGAGCGAGCGCCAGCGCGCAAAGAACACAGGGGCCTTCCACAGCTTTCAACCCTAGCCCAGCCCTGATCCTGCCCAGCCTGACGCGGCACCCCGCGCTGAGAAAAACAAGTTGGTTTTATTTTAATTCAAGAGGGTTGGAAACATAAAAACAGTACATTTTCCTTGCAGAAAATTACCCCATTTAAATTACCATTTGGTACAAATATCATTTATTAAACTGTATTTGGAGACCATTTTCTAACATTGAGTGACAGTTTCCACTTTCATTCGTTTGCACATTGGAGCTATTATGATTTGCACTCAAAACACCAAAGCTGTTGAATTCACCAGGTTTTTTTTTTTTGTTTTTTAGTCATTAAAAAAAAATAAAACAGCACATAGAGAAAAGAACTACAATTCATTAGATGAAGTTTCTCAGAAGCGGCTCTCACAGATCAGACAGCCAGCGAGACCCTTTTCCTCCCAGACTCAAAGACACTCGCCCTTCCTACAAAGTGCAACTGTCTCCATCACTTCCATTTCTTAAATTGCAGTCCTCAAGATTAGCCAGCCTCCTTTGCTCTTTCTCCTTTCAGAGAGTGGTGGAGGCAGATTCCTCTCCCCCCCCCCCCCCCCAGTCCTGGAGCTTGAACTCTGGGCCTGGGCACTGTCCTTGAGTTTCTTTTGCTCAAGGTCAGTGCTCTACCACTTAAGCCACACTTCCATTTTTGGCATTTTGGGAGTAGTTTATTGGAGATAAGAATCTCATAGATTTTTCTGCCTGGGATAGTTTAGAACCATAATCCTCAAGTCTCAGCCTCCTCAGTAGCTAGGACTATAGGCATGAGCCACCAGTGCCAGGCAAATTTTTTAATTAATTAATTTTTACCTGGGGTAGTGGCTTGTTTCCTTGACTGAGTAAAGCCTGAACTGATGTATAGACCCCATACAGCAAGTCCCAGCTAACTGCATCTACTATGGTAGCATTGTTCCATCTGGGGTCATATTGTTCCAGAAAGTTCTTATGTACCTAAAGCTTCTCTCTACCTACCCAATTTGACTCTGAAAAGACAGAGTATTCAATCAAAGCATGTTATATTTTGTTGTAACCCTGAAAGTGTCTAACGCAGACTCCTTTGTGTGGGACTTGACTGCAAAGCCACTGCTATGTCTCCGTCAGGATGCAGGCTGTCTGTGGTTCTGAGTGGCCTGCCCTGGGGTTGGGTCTGTGGACTTGATGATGTGGCTGTGCACCACGTGGCCCTTCTCTAAAGGAAATCACTGTGCAACTTGGAACAAGGAAACATACAATGGGAACCTAAACTGTAGATTATTGGACGGGGGTGGGGTGGTGGTGGGGAGACAAGTGGTTTTGTAGGGTCTGTGTCTCCCTCAACTTCTCGAGTGCAAGGACACCAGGACAGCCGCCGTTGTCACCTGAGGTGCCCCTCCCTGCAGGCCCCACGGCTGCTGGTTGGAAGGTGCAGCTGTGTGGACAGCAGTCATTCTCCCAGTACCTGGCCACAATGGGGGCTTTGTGGATACAGCTGTTGGCTTATGGAAAGAGCCAGGTGTGCTGAGCCAGATACAGCGGGAAGCCAGTCGACCCGGTGCTTTTCCTGACTTCCCTGCTGCGAGCGCTGGGCCTGGGCTAAGTCACTGCCCCTTCCCGCGGAGCCCAGCTTTCCTCCGTGAACGATAAGGACAGCACCTCCCGGCGAAGTGTGTGAGGATGAGCAGAGGTTGGGGGGAAGGCGCTTAATGTAAGAATAGAAGCTACTGCTCCTTTTCATGGACAAGTCAAGTCTCCGGGCAGAAACCATGAAAACGATCACCCGTGAAGTGTCTGGGCAGCTGCGTTTCTCAGTCTGTGTAATAGTATGCGTGTGAAGCTGCCAACTGTGTTCGAATTGGATAAGGTATGGAGAGGAGATAGTGGTACAACTAGCATGGCTAGGAGTCTAGAGTCAGCCAGGCTGCAGGTGACGGGGAGCGGAGCCGCCAGGGCCGAAGGGCGCTGGAAGGCCGCTGCCGCCATCTCCCCCGCGGCGCGCGGAGCCTGTCGGGAGGTCGGGACGCCGAGTGTGCAGGTGCACGTGCTGTGCAGGTGATTCTGCTCTTGCATCCCACAAACCACTCAGAAGATAACTTCTGCAAAAAACACCCCAAACCAAAAGAACTCCCAAAGAACAATTTCCAGAAGCAAGCAAATTCTCAAAGACCCTGCCTGTGCCGCCTGTGACTACCTGTTCTTCAGTCCTGACCTTTGACACCTAGGCCCCAGGAGACTGCGCAGCTGGGGTGACTGACGACGAGGAGGGGGCTCAGTGTAGGGGAACACGTGCAGCCCAGGGCAGCAATGGCTCCACACCTGCTCTGTTCATGGGGCCAATGACACTGCGGCTGTCTCTAACGAGGAGGAATGTGAGGAAGTTCTCTCGAGTGGGAATTTTCTTTGAGACAGGAGGATATTACGTGTCACTGTTGGTACGAATCTTACTGTCATGGAGGGCCGCGTGGCCAGCCAGCTCCAGGCCTGTGTGACGTGGCGAGGCCTGCGCAGGCGCGGCTCACCTGCCTTAGGCCGCTGGCGCACACACCGGGGCCCCTGGCCAGGCCACTGGAAGCTGCTGCTTCCCACTTTCCTGCAGTTTCTGGCTCCTCACCAAGTGCTCCTCTTCTGGGAACACACCCTTCTCCTCAGTTCCTAGAGCCAGGGGTGGGAGGGCTCTAATTTGCCCTGCCTTAGGGATAATGACACCCGCACCTGGGCGATGGGGAGCGGGGAGCCCTGGTGGTTGGGGTGGGCAGGCGGGGTGCAGGTCAGGAGGAGGCCGAGTGGAGGGGCTCCAGTCCCCATCTCCCTGCCGCTGGCATGCGGGACCGGGGGCTGAACTGTGAGGAAGAGGTCTGAGCAGAAGAGGGGGCTCTTGCTCACGACCAGCGGACAGTCCTGCAGCCACAGCTCCAGCCCCCCTGGGGGCCCTGGATCCCTCTCGGGTGGATGTGCGGAGTTGGCGCGGATGGCAGGCTCCTCCCTGTGCAGGGTGGCACGGGGCGGGCTCTGTGTGGCTTTCAGGGACGCAGATCAGTTGCATGTAAATACCGGCGCTTGCCCGCCCTGCTGGGAATTGCTCAATGACTGCATTTCCCCCAGAGCACAGAGTAATACCCTTGGACTTGAAAAACAAACACAAAAACACCCCCCCCCCACACACCCCAAACAAACAAAAAAAAACCAATCAGAATAAAAACAGTACCACACCTATTGCACTTTTTGCCGAATGAAATTGTTACCTCACTGTTCGTCTCGCCAAAGCGTTTTCTGTGGCGGCTGGCTCTCCGGCCGTGTGAGCACACACCTGTCTGTCATCAGCGTGTGCACGCCGCCCTGGCCAACAGACTGGTGGGCAGGTCAGTGTTCCAAAGCCTTCCCTGGGTCACTAGGTAGGAAACGAAGCCTCGCTCTGCAGGCAGTGCAGGTGGCGATGGAGCTCAGTGATGTTGCTTGGACTGAGCGACAGGAGGGATTGCGGCAGGGAAGGGCTGCGCTCGCGCTCAGTGATGGTCCGCGCCTGGCTGAGAGGCCGCGGCTGCTCTCCACATCCTATAGCTTCGGCAGCCTCTCCATGTCCCCTCATGCGTTGAGTAACTGTTCTGTCAAACTGCCTAGGTCTCCTGGGCTCTGCTGGGGCAGGTGGTGATGGCACCGTGGTGGCCGTGCCATGCCTGCAGTCCTGAGCTGAGCAGCCCACTGGGGGTGTGGAAGGCGGTTTCCTTTCGTCAATATCATGGCACTTCTGCAGCGATTCCAGAGAGCCTCCTCCTTAGTCTAAACAAATCAAGGCCTGGCTTATAACTGGCTTACTCCGCAAAGACTTAGAAAGATTAAAGATCTCAATGAGATGATCTCTCAAGTGAAGTGATGTCTGAATCTCACGAAATCATCAGTCTGAAGCACGAGGAGGAATGAGCAACCCATGAAAGGAAGGCAATTCATTCTTTCTGGATTTTCCTTGTTACGAGATCACAAAACTGACAAGTCTCTCCTGCTACCCTTTCCTGTTGCCATCCAGAGCCCGACTCCAAGCAGAACGCCTTTGTGAAGCAGCCTGGCCCCAGGGGAGCCCCGAGAGGCGCGGCAGTGTCTGGCCAGCCACCGGGCCACTCGAGTCACCAGCACTGGCAGGGGCTGCAATGGGGGCCACAGTGGCGCTCTGGAGACTTTTCCCACGCTCCCCTCCCTGCCTGGACACTTACTACAAAGAGGAAAGGCAACTGAAAGGTGTTTCTAGATGCAGCATCAGTGTGTAGTATCTGTCTTCTTGTGCTTTAAGGAAGATGCTTGTTTTAAACGCATTCATCTGCTGATAGGACAAGCCACTCTAAAGGACAGAAATATAGGTTTTTATAAATAATACTGAAATTGTAACACTGGATGTCACTGTGCAAATGCCACATTACCCATTCTGCCTAGGTACATGGCTAACTAACTGGAGCATCCATTTTTCACTTACTTTGATGAATGAATCATTAAGGGTTACATTTTTTTTTCTTCTCGAAGTGTGTGGCAGATTGATCTGCTTAAATGGTTAATACATCTGTAGCTCTTTGAATTTTGCTGTTAATACTTTAAAAATTTCATTATAAGTGAAAACTTTAAAGAAACGAATTCCTGCCAAGTGCCAGTGGCTCATGCCTGTAATCCTAGTAGCTACTAAGGAGGCTGAGATCTGAGGATCATGGTTCAAAGCCAGTTTGGGCAGTTAAGTCCAGGAGACTCTTATCTCCAATAAACCACCCGAGAACGGGAAGTGGCACTGTGGCTCAAGTGGTAGAAAGCTGGCCTCAAGCTGAAGAGCTGAGGGACAGCGCCCAGGCCCAGAGTTCTAGCCCCACGGATGGCCCGAAACAAAACAAAACAAAAAACAACTAATTCCTACATAGTGTAATCAGAATTCTGATTCCTACAGAGTGGAAAAGAAACTTAAGATGTGACTTCTTTGGATTTAGCACTGACAGAAATAGCAAACCTGATTTTTCTTCTTCTTCTGTTTTTTTTTTTTTTGAGTCAGTCGTGGCAAGGCCTGAACTCTGGGCTTGGGCGCTGTCCCTCAGCTCTTCAGCTCAAGGCTAGCGCTCTACCACTTGAGCCACAGCGCCACTTCTGGCTTTTCCTGCTTGTATGAAACTGTCCAAATATACAACACCCAATAAACTCCTAGCAACGTAAGTTGTAAAGTCAAAGGAGTTTCTACATTGGAGAAGAGACAGAAGGCCTGAGTCTCCACAGAGCTGGCACAGGAAGAGCTGGCTTCCTGGTCCAAGGCTGGAGCCCCTGGTTCCCTCTCCCCACCCCGCCCCTAGCCTCCACTGCGGTGAGCCTCCTGTCCTATGGGCGAGGATCTGGTGATTATAATCCAGGCCATTTCTGAAGAGCTGTACTCCCAGATGGACACTATGTCAGATTTCTGAGGTCAGCTGTTAATTTAGCGACCCCTGAAACAAGAGCTCAGGCTCTGAAGTTTTTCCATGGTCTTGGGGATGATAACTGCATCCTCACCTAAGAACTCATCATTCAACAATAAAACGTTAACTTTACTGCCCGTGCATCAGATACACGTATCCTTGATTGGCCTCGAAGCAATATGTTGTTGCTCGTTCAGCGAATTCCATTGCCTTCTTGTTTTGCCCTATGTATATTTATGCAACACACATTTTTTCTGCTTTCACCAGGTTTCCTTTGATAAGGAACTGATGTAATTCTGCATCCAATCTATGTCTGAATGTTGACTTAAACGTGTTGGTGCCTCTCGAGAGTTTGTTCTGCTTTACTTAAGGGCATGTGCTTCAGCCTGTGACTCTGTTCCAGCATTTGCCACAGAAGACTTTGTGGTGGGACAGAGCCAGGAGGAAGCACATCCACCCTCGCCACGCCTTCTGATTGCAGTTGGGTGACTTGATTTTTTTCCCCATTAGGAAAAGGGCAAGAAAATAAGCTTTAGATTTAAAAGGATGGAATAAAAACAGAAGTACACAGTCTGCTTGCACTAGATCCACCTTACTTCCTGTGCTTAGGTTAATTCACCAAGACATACCCATTGTGTTGTGGATCCACAGCATCTAGCATCTCACAATCAAAAAGTCCAGGTAGGTCAGAGAGGGCCAGCGGGTCGTAGCTGGAGGGGGCATCCTGCAGTCCTGAGCTCCTGGGGCAGTCTGGGCCCGAGAGGCCGCTCTGCTGGGCTCCGTCCACAGGATACTGACAGGGAGTGGGATAGTCTGGCGCCGAGGAAGTGGCACTTGGCAGCTCGCAAGTCTGATAGGAGAACTGTAAGGGGGCTGGGGCAGCTCCTGGCTGCTGTGGAGGCGGCGGAGGCGGCGGGAGTGGAGGCTGCTGCGGCTGCTGCAGCTGTGTGGGCAATGGAGGGAGAGCCCGGGGGCCAGGCGCTGAGGGCAGGGGCTGCAGCTGCATCTCCTGGTACTGGCTGAGAAAAGGGCTGTACTGCATCTGCTCAGAAGAAGGCTCCAGGACAGGGCTCAAGGGCTGGCTCAGGCTGAACGGCGGGGGCTGCTGGGGCGGTGCCGGAGTCTCCTGGTGGGGAAGGGGCTGACTCGGCGGGGGGTAGGAGCTCTCCGCTATCTGCATCTGGTTAAAATACGCCTGCAGCTGAGACTGCTTCTGCAGGAAAAGCCGCTTCTGTTGGAGCCTAAATTGGCAACACCAAAGGAAAGCATGTGAAATCGTCTAAGGAAAGGCCATTCCAGAGTCAATTCACTAGCAGGCACTAGCTTCAGAACCCACTTCTTTGAGACATGGTCTTACTGTTGTAGCCCAGGCCAGCTTGCTGGCCTCTGGGCAGATGGACAATCTTCCACTTCTCTCTCCCATGCAAGGAGAAAAAGTATGGCTAGGAAATCCCCATGATATGTTTCTGAAATGTAAGCTCCTCTTCTGCCCTTAATTCTGACTAACTTCCCCCCTTCTCCCAGTGCTAAGTGAGCATGAATGCGTTTGTTTGGTTTTTTTCAGACATGAATGTGTGTGTGTTTGTGTGTGTGTATGATTTTTGGGGGGTGGTTGTTATTTGTTTTATCTGTCTTGGGCCTTGAATTCAGGGCCTGGGCACTGTCCCTGAGCTCCTTTTGCTCAAGGCTAGCACTCTACCACTTGAGCCACAGCGCCCTGCGTATGTGGTACTGAGGAATGGAACCCAGGGCTTCATGCATGCTAGGCCAGCATCTACCACTCACTAAGCCACATTCCCAGCCCAACATGTATATAGTTTAAATAGACTAGCCTTTTGTGTTGCTTTCTTTATGTATCTCCCTGTGCTCTGTGGAACAACTGCTTTCATTGAAACTGCTTGTGCCACCTTCATACATAGTTACAACGTATTTTCTCTTAAGAGACTAATTTGTTATCTTCCTGCTGTGGAGGCTGGTTTCTCATCCTGACTGGCCCGAGGGGAGGTACATAACCCTTGGCCTCTGTGGGTGACTGTAGGCTGATGGAGCAGAGTAATTCTATCTTGGCCAAGCTGCTTCTACCAGCAAGGCCAGCAGGCTTACACAGCAGTAAAACAGGCCTCAGTGTGACCTGCATGAGGTGCTTTAGGCCATGGATTCTGAAAGCTTAGGGTCTAGTCACACCCCAGAGGGGAAATGCTAGGAGAGAAAGAAAACCCAATGTACTTGGGGACTGCTGCTGTCTGAAAGGGCCAGACTCCGGGAATGCTGGCAGGGCCTCAGCAATGACGCTGGGAAAGCCTGGTACGCGCATCGAAGCCCAGGTTCTAGTCGAGGCAATCACGCATGGAAAAGCACCGCACAGCCAGCATGCTTCAGGCAGTCATGAAAGTGACTGCTGGCCAAGGAGCCGCTCACCTGTGCTCCTGCAGCTGCTGTTCTAGGCTCCGTGGTGGCTCTTTACAATAAAGCTGACAGGTGTTCTGGGCCTTTGACAGAAGACTGGGCTTCTGGAAGAGCACAAAGACATGATAAGCATGAGCATATGCTGTCACCTGGATGTAGTTGTCAGACTGCTCCTGCTTGAAGGGTGAATCTAGGTGTGGCCTCCACATCCACACAGGGCGAGGGGACTGACCTCTGTGCTCCCCGAGAGCCCAGAACGCAGGGGTCAGCAGGCCAGAGTGTCCTCAGATAGGACACACTTGGGTTCCGTTTTTGAGAGTCCTCTGGGATTTCGAGGTTTGTGGAGAACAGTGAGAAACGTAGACGGAAATCTTGATAGCCTCGCCATGTGCCGAATGAACAATTCATTCTGGACGCCACCGATATTTCATCATTTAAGATTTTCACCAACCATTGTAGACATCCCATGCTCACATTTTGCCGACTTGAGATTTCCCTTTTATTTACCATTCACTAAGGAGATCAAATTAGAAACTAAGAAGCCAAGTCTCCTTTTCCCATTACTCGGCAGCAGACCCTTCCCCTCCTTCTGAGAGGCTAAGAACCCAGCCACACACTTAGCAGAAAGCTAAGTCTGAACATGATTTTTGAGACTGCAAGTGCAGTCAGACTAGCAGCCTATATGGAATAAAGTAGCTATCTTAAGTAGACACCAGCCAAACAGGTTTGTGCTTTGCTCGAAGGAAGGATCTGGGTGAACGGCAAGAGGAAGGCTCCCACCTGGAGTCGATGCTGAAGATACTGGCTTTCCAGGCTTTGCCGTGGGGAAAGCTGAGGATGCACGCCGGCAGGGAGAGTGGAGACACTTTCCTGCTGCTGAGAAACTTCCTCCTGAGAAGCAAGATGGTAGAAAATTTCAGTTTGTCATGCAGAGAGAAGTTTCAACTCTTTATTTAAGCATACTGCCAAATAACCAAGAGGAAGGTCACCTCTGTGGGACATTAATCCTCCAAGCTTCTGCGCAGGCAAAGCTTTGAAGGATGCTTCTTGCAGAGACCTTCCATCTACATTACCCATGGTCCACTGTGACCTAGTCTGTGCTTCCTGTTGGCCTCATCTATGACATTACGGATATACTGCTAACAGGCTGGAAATTACATTTATTGGGTGAATAGTTGCATTGATTATTTCACAAATAATCTGTAATATTTGATAAAGTGATTTTACACCAAAAGCAGTGGCAAGTGTCTTTTGTGGGTGATATGACTCCTCTTGTGTCTGGGTGGTGGTAGAATCCTATGTGATCCTGTGTGCTCATACATGATCATATGTGAGTAGGTCATGTGCAGTCTGCCCTAGGTCTCCTAGGTGCCTGCTGGGCCAGTGCAGCAGCCAGGAAAGTCAAACAGGTCCAACAGCCTCAGAGCTGTGGTGGGAAGAGCCTGGGCACTCACCGGAGGGCAACTTGCAAGGTCCTGAAGCTGAGAAGCAGCTGGTGCCAGCCTCGGACCAGCGTCAGACCCCATTTGTTCATACAGCAACTGCACTTTGTTTAACTCCAGGATTCCTTTGGTTCTTGCCAGATTCTGAAGATGTTGTCTAAAGGCTACAATTCCTAAAATAAAGTACAAAGAACAAGTTTTGGTAAAACGCAAGGCCTCTCAGTGCACACGGTTCACAGCCCCGTGGCAACAGCCCTCCACTGCTCAGACTGAGCTGGGAACGTGAGAGGCGCCGCACTCGCCTTGCGTGAGGGAGGTGTCTGATGCCCTGCGGCCCTCTCTGAAGCTCACAGGGGACCTGTTGTGCGCTTCACGTTTCTGGGAGCTCAGAGCCTGCATGGCTGGGTTGGTAGGTCGCAGGCTGACGAAAGGAGACGTCATACGGGGTGAGGGCTGATTGGCTAACATGATGTCCTTCAGAGAAGGGTTGTCTTCCAGAAAGTTAAGGTCTCTCTGAGCACACCCCATGTCATATTCGGAGTCCACACTGTCAAGGGAGGGGTTGTCACTCATGGAGAAAAGCTTCCCTTTAAGAGAAAACAGAATAGATATAACCAACAGCAACAACACTTTTGAATTCAGGATAAAAATTGTGATGAGTTTTAGTCTGGAAAGCAGTGGTGTCCTTCATTTACTCAGGATGCTGAGGTAGGAGTTTGAGACTAGCATCACAAAGCAAACAGTGAGAAACAAAAATCTCAGGGCTGTTGCTGTGAGGGTGTAGCTCAGCAGCAGAGTGCTTGCTTAGTATGCACAGGCCCTCAGTTCAATCCCTAGCACTGCAAACAAACCAATTCCATCTTTTCAGAACCTTTTTTATAGGCCAATTTAAATGCCTTCAAATTTACTGGGGGAAAGCTCTCCAGAATCTGTGCCTATAAGATCTCAGCTGTCCAAAGAAGCCAGAGACTGAGGAAGCCAAGCTCATCTGATGAGCCCCAAGGAGAGACAGCCAACTCAAGCATTTCACTTTCATCTTGGTTAGCTGTTGGGGCAGAGGCCTGATTTGCACAGCCTGCTACATGGGCTCTGTGAAGCAATGGGACTACATCCCAGGGCTAGGCTGGTATCATGACTACTTCTATTGCTATACTTGGTGCCTGGAAGATGAATGGACACAGTGAAGACTTAGCCTGGTGCTTCCTGGACATCGTACCTGGCCCAGGCATCACAACCAGTGGGTTGGTCACTTCTGACAGCGTGTGCCGTCGCTGGCCACTGCGCGTGGCCTGGAAAGCTTCAAAGGCATGACTGGGGTCTTCCTCGGCCTCTCCTTCAGTCTCCAGGCCTTCATCTATGGAGGTCTCCATCATGTTGCTGGGCAGTGACTGGCATCCCTTCCTCACCAGGACAGGAGGCACAGGGTCAAGCAGACAGCCATTTACCTACGTGCCACACGGTGAGCAAACTGTTAGTGGGGCTCTGAGGAGTCCTCAGAAAAACCCCAAAGGGAAAGGTGCCAAGACTTGTGGCAAACCAGAAATTAAGCCAAAGACTAAAGTGACCGTACAAATTTCAAATGACAATACACTGATTAAAAATGAAGGGCGGTCAATTGAAACACTAGAGACAGAAGCCCATTATGACCCAAACTGGCACTGCCATCAGGTTACTCTGAGTCATCCTATTACAATAAACACTTTTTTTTTTTAAATGGAGTTCCAAATGAATAGGAGTATTTTAGCTTGAGGCCTACCAGGCTCTTTCTTTTTTTTTTTAATAAGGGAAGATGAAAAAATTTCTTTTTTTTCTTTTAAGGCAAGCGATTGTCTGAAATTTCTATAATCTTGCTCTGATGGAGCAGGAGAAGGCCTCAAACGGTTTCGAGACTGTTCTGGTGAGCTCTGTAGGCGTGAACAGGGCCATGGCAGACCCACGCGTGCTAGAAGCTTGCTACAGATTTTTTTTTAATGCATGGCTTGTAGCTAAAAGAAAAGAGTAGTCACCAACATTCTTCTAATTTTCAACCGCAAAACACACTAGAAGGTTCCAGAGATACTTTTCAGTTTATGACTTAAGTACCTGCCCATTCAGTTTAGTCTTTAATAGGTTCTATGTGCCCAAGGAATGGAAAGTAAGAATTCTTTGAAGACAGATACCACAAAAAGAATTGAAAAAAAAAAATTAAATGGCAAGCAGCCAAAGGCTTCCATTATAGAATAACAAATGACTCACAGGCCCCAAATTCCAGCAGAGGTTAATAAGCCCCAGCGCACAGAATTCTCTCCCTCCAGCAGCTCACACAGTATTGACTGTTCACCCCGCAGGGAGAGCTCAGCTCAGCCTGGGGTGAGCCTTCCGCCTCCCTGCACAGTTGCCAAGCAAACCACCTAATGGTCGGCTAAAAGGCACACAAAAGGGAGTTGTGGTTTCCAGTTCTTCTAGCTGGTAAAAACCCCACAGAGGAGGCAATTATTTACCTCATTACCTTAACTATTCCCTAGTGGAAATCAATCCCTGGTCTCCTGTGAATGGCTGCTCAGGAGCAGCCAGCAGAGCTGCTCTGCCTGGAGCACGCTGGGTAGAGCCGGCTTTCCTTTGGAGGCTGGAGCTCTTGTATATGGGAGCCCGGTGCCAGACACAGGAAATTTTCCTCTTACACAAACCATCTGAGGCTCTGTGAGGCTGGGTCTGGACAGGGAGAGCTGGAGACTCAGCTTTGTTTGCTCAGGGGAGGGACTGCTCATCCCCCAGATCTGCTCTGCAGCCACAGCCACTCCTTGTTTAGGGGGCTGATGCATGGGCAGTTGCTTCAAAGGGAGAGCGCAGATACCTTCTTCCCAACCTTCCAGTCTTCCCTTGGAACAGAAAACAGAAACCTGAGATCTGGCCAACAACTGTCATCCTCTCCTTGGACCTTTCCCGGAGAACTTTTCCCTTTTGACTATGCTAAATAGTTTCCTTGCCGGAAAGCATGGCTGAGAACTTAAGATTCATACTTCTAGGCTCCCTAACTGGCTAGTCTAGTGAGTTTGTTAAGAACAGCGCTGGGAAAAATGATCGTGACGTAACTTCCCATAAAGAAGATTCAAAATCGTACGGGCAACTCTCTTAGACAGGTTTTGCTGTTGTTTGTTTTTACAGGAAATCAAATCCAAGTCTCAACTCCAACTTCCTAATGGCCTTTGCCGACCACTTCAGCACTGAAGAGTTCTGGGAGGGAAAAAGGTGAACTCTCTTTGGGGTATAACATCCTTGTCTCTAATTGAGAGCAGAAGTGTAATTAGCAATACATGCAGTTACAAAGAATCTTATGGAAAACAAAAGGGTGTTGTGGTGAGTGTTTATGAGACAGTGTGAACAACAGAACTGTATTTCTATTAAAGGTTTTATGTGTGTGCGTTTATCTACTGGCCTCAAAGAGAGGGGTGGGAGGGACAGAAGAGAGACAGCATGTTTGCAGACATAAATGAAACGACCCACAATAAGACTGGTGAATGTTTCTGGCCTGGCTGGGTGTCAGGGTGGCCCTGCCAATATGGGTGGCTACTTCCAGTGTGGCACCCTTCTTTCTACAAATGCAAATACACTAGCTAGCTTCTGTCTATATCTTTCGCAAAATCATTCATTTCCTGTCTGTTTCCTAGTTACTGTAACAATCACAAGCTTTAAAAATAGCTTGCCCTATATATTACTGCAGACAGTACCCAATCTGTGTTTCGGGCCTGATGCCCTCACAGACAAGATTTTAGCAGACTGCATTTTAATTTTGTCGGGAGAATTAGATCTTCAAAATGAATTATGCTGCCCTAATTGATGTCTACATTTCAGAATTGGACGGTAACAGTGGTTTATAAGGTTATTTCATATGCTAGGCAACTGCAGGAGGAATAAACACTGCCCCACAGAGAGGCACTTGTCCTCAGGGCCCTGGGCACCAGAGTTCAGTACTGCGGTGTAGCCCTTGCTGCAGTGGCCACATTGGCTGGATTCTGGTTAAACTCACCATTTACCTTTGATCGCTGCTTAACCTCCAGAGGTTCCGGTTTCTGAAATGGCACCTATCATCTAGGCTCAACATCTCGTGTGGGCGTGGACTTCTCTCTATCCCTGGAGACCTCTCCTTTCTATCCGTGTTGCCCCCTCCTTTCAGGACCACTGTCCTAGTGCAGGCCTACATGGTCTCCCTTCTGACACACATGGGCTTGGCCTCCCGTCTTCCAGCCAGTGTGAAGTGACAATCAAAGCGCGTTTTCTGAAGCCCAGGAGGCACAGTATGTAGCCCTGCCCCGGGTCACTTCTTTAACTGTGACACTTGACCCTGAGACACTCCCCAACACTGACAGTGCCTGCTTTAGAAACGTCCGCATTGCCTGGTTTGCCATTTCCAGAGGAAATACTCATCCATGCATCGTCCCTTCTCCGTATGTTCTTTTCCTCAGAAAAACTAAGAGCTATACTGATTTAGATGACCAGAAGTTTCCCAAAGTTTGCTTTTGCTTAAGCTCTTCCTTCCCCTGGAGATGCGCCATCCTACTTTGCATTCACCTGCATTCTCATCCTCTTCTTTCCCTGCTCTTCAAGCTAACCCCAAATGGCACCAACCAAACACTCACACTCACCTTCCTGCTTCCTTCTAGTCTCATTTTGATTTATTACCTCTCTACAGGACCAATCATATATTTTATTTTTTGTCAGCTTCTCTGGCGCTTGGCGGACTCAGCATTGTCTCTAGTTCCTTCTGTGTGATGGCAGTCCAGCAGACTGAGGCAGAGTTCATATATGACTTTTTTTTTTTAATTACCAAAGAGGCTGGACAGGAAACTCATAATTATTGAGCACTAAAATCTGCCCCAAACATCACATACACACATTATCTCAATTATCTCAATCCTCACAATAAACTTATTAAGTTGACATTCTCAGTTTACACAGAGAAAAAACAGGTTCAAAGGTTAGTCTCCTTGCCCAAGTTCACATGGTTTAGTTAAAAGCAATTTGAAGATACTCAAAGACCCACATTCTTTTTATCACACTCTGTTATCATTAATATGAATATGATTCTTTTTCTTTCGCTGGTCCTGGGATTTGAACTCAGGGCCTGGGTACTTTCCCTGAGCTGCTTCTGCTCACAGCTAGTGCTCTACTACTTGAGCCACAGTGCCTCTTCCAGTTTAGTGGTGTTTGAAAATCTCATGGACTTTCCTGTCTAGGCTGGCTTTGAACTGTGATTCTCAGATCTCAGCCTGAGTAACTAGGATTACAGGTGTGAGTCACTGGCACCCAGCTATGAATATGATTCTTTAGTATCATATGATGCTAAATATATATAACACCTATTAGAAGCAAAATAAACACCCATTGTATGAAACTGTCCCTTTTATATATTAAAAGCCAACTAACAAGCCGGGCGCCTGTGGCTCACACCTGAAATCCTAGCTACTCAGGAGGCTGAGATCTGAGGCCCATGGTTCAAATCCAGCCCGAGCAGGAAAGTCTGTGAGGTTCTTTTGTTGTTGTTGTTGTCAGTCGTGGGCTTGAACTCTGGGCCTGGGTGCTGTCCCTCAGCTCTTCAGCTCAAGGCAAGTGCTCTATCATTTGAGCCACAGCGCCACTTCCGGTTTTCTAGTGGTTTACTGAAATAAGAGTCTCATGGACTTTCCTGCCCAGCTGGCTTTGAACCGTGATCCTCAGATCTCAGCCTCCTGTGTAGCTAGGATTACAGGCATGAGCCACTGGTGCCTGGCTCTGGGAGACTCTTATCTCTAGAAAACTGGAAGTGGTGCTGTGGTTCAAGAGGTAGAGCACTCCCTTGAGCTGAAGAGCGCAGGGACAGCACCCAAGCCCAGAGTTCAAGCCCCATGACCAAAAAAAAAAAAAAAAAAGCCAACTGATGTATACCAAATACAAACTGAATTCTTTAATAATGTCCAAAGCAACCACCAAAGATGCTCAGCAGATCAAAAAGAAAGTCTACCAATTTTGTCTAGAATATCCTCAAATAGAAGAGAGGCAGTATTAACAGAACACTCAATTCAGCACAATAGAAAATTTGTTTTCAGGGCTGGGAAGGTGGCTCAGTGGTAGAGTGCTTGCCTTGCATGCTTGAGGCCCTGGGTTCGATTCCTCAGCACCACATAAGCAAAAAGAAAAAAGCCGGAAGTGGTGCTGTGGCTCAAGTGGTAGAGTGCTAGCCTTGAGCTGAAGAGCTAAGGGACAGTGCCCAGGCCCAGAGCTCAGGCCCCATGACCGGACCAAAAAAAAAACAACTTGTTTTCAAAATTATGATTAAAGACAAAACCGAAAGGAGAAAGAAGAGGCATCTTGAGAAGTTACTAAGAGGTCTGTCAAGTCACATTATGTTACAGTCATAATAATTAAACACTGGTGAGGCGTTAGCTCTGGACACTTACGAATTCTCCAAAACCCCAAACTAACAACAAAAAGCCCCAAACCAACATTCCTGACTGAGCCAAGAGTTCATCCAAGCCACACAGCAAACACGGGATCTCTCCAACATTCTCACTGTACCTTTGGAGTGTCGACACATTCCTCCTCCATAAACGCAGCTTCCGCTTGACAGCCAGATGCTGGAAACGAAAAGGCCTCCACGTTGGATGCCTGAGGGAGGGGGGTAGACCGCAGCAGTCTCACATTCGGTGAGTGCATGGCCACCGGGAGCCCCACAGTTTGTGCCTGCAAATACAGCAAGAACAGAGTACGTGAAGAGGAATACTTCCCCTATAATACACAAAGTTCTCGGAAGCAAATTGTTCCTGGGACCATGAAAGGATAAGCACTTGGGACACTCCAGGAAAGACCTGCGTCAGTATGTGTTAGGTAGAGTATCAGTCTCAGTAAGACTGTACTTAAATAGTCTGGACAGAGTTTGGGTCCCCTCCCTTGATAAGAGGTATAACTTGCATGGAAGCAAAAAGAAAACCAGTCTTTGTAACTACCAGTTCAACAAACACTCCTTGTCTCTTCCCTTAAATCAATGACTAGGAAAGGTATAAAGAAAAAAGTTGAGTGTGCAGGAGCTCAGCATTGGCGCTCCAAGACCTGGTAACTAATGACAGTCCAGGTGTACTTAACTAAGCACACTCCTCACCCTACTCCTCACCCTTTCTGGGCAAGGATGTCCACAAAGATGAAGAAAAGCAGTTACTTGGGAGTAAAAGAAGTCTTTCTGGAACAAGGGAGATATAAAGAGTAGCATGCTTGGTACCTACCACACGGATGATGAGAGAGTGTTTCTATGACAAACGGATGGTTGATGAATATCCTAGTGGTCATTACTGGGCCATGCCCAAACAAATACGCTCCTTTTTTTTTTTTTCCCCCTGTGCTGAGCCTGGGCGCTGTCCTTGAGCTTTTTTTTTTTTTGTTTTGTTTCTTTAATGAAGTTAAGTGATTACATGAATTTCACAGTATCGTGGGATAGTGATACTTAGCTAAAGTCACAAACACATGTTAACCTTCACAGGGTGAATTGGTCATTATCATAGTTTATAAAGCTTGAGAACTCTACAAACTTTGACAATACAACTATTTTTTCCAAATAGGGTGATATGTACCTTTCCTTTTGCTTGGTGTAAGCTGTTCCCTCTTCCTCTCTCATTTCCTCCCTCCTATCACTGCCCTTGAGTTGCTTTGTTCACTTTCTTCAATGTCCAGGGCAGCTGATGGGCCCCTCTGCATATTTTTTTTTTTTTTTGTCGGTCGTGGGGCTCGAACTCTGGGCCTGGGCGCTGTCCCTCAGCTCTTCAGCTCAAGGCAAGCGCTCTACCATTTGAGCTATAGCGCCACTTCCGGTTTTCTGGTGGTTTTATTGGAGATAGGAGTCTCACGGTCTCTCCTGCCCGGGTTGGCTTTGAACCGCGATCCTCAGATCTCAGCCTCCTGAGTAGCTAGGATTACAGGCGTGAGCCACCAGCGCCCGGCCCCTCTGCATATTTTATCACCTGTTTCCCTCTGATTCTGTGCCCTCCTCCCAGCTTCCTTCATACGTGCACATGGATATACCATGTGTGTGGTTAAGAACATAGAGTCATCTAAAAACAACATGACAAATTAAGAAGAGGTCCTTTGTTTCTTGAGTCCTGTTTGCTTTGTTGGATCTCGTTGTGTTTTGAATTTAACATCTGCATATCAGAGAGACCCTTGTGCTCTTTTTGCTTAAGACTAGCATTCTACAACTTGAGCCATAGCTCCACTTCTGAATTTTGGTTAGTCAGAAATAGAAGAGTTTCTTGGACTTTTCTGTCCAGGCTGCTTTTGAACTGAGCTCTTTGAGACCTCAGTCTCCTGAGGTGAGAGTCACTGGCTCACTTTTCAAACCCTGTTTATTGGTCTGAATCTCTGCTTCTGATTTTGTTTTCCAGAACATAATTTTCTTTCTTATGGGAAAATTGTTATTGTTCTATAGGAATTTGGTGTTAGGGGCTGACTTATATTTTCCCAAAATTTCTAAGTTGAAGATTAACCCTCAATGGCAAGGTACTTGGAGAAAGGACCTTTAAGAAGATTATTAAGGTTAAATTAGGTCATAACTGGTAGGGCCCTGATCCAAGAAGGTGAGACTGAGTTTTAAAATATAGTTGAGACTGGTCTTGATTTCACTATGTAGCCTAGGCTGGCCTTCAATTCATGACCCCCCCCCCTCGTTTCACTCTCCTAAGTGTTGGGACTACAGATGTGTATCACCAGGCCTGGCTGCTATTCATAGAAGAAGAAGAAGAACAGATGCCAGAGACCTCTTCACAACTGACAGTGGAAAGGCTTTGTGAGGCGCAGTGAGAAGGGAGCCCCTACCAGTCAGGAAAGACCTTCTGCACAAATCGGCCCTGACGGAACCTGACTGTGCATTTCTGGCCTCCAGATTAGGAAAAAAGAATCTGATTTTCAGTCAACCAGCCCGGCATTTTGTTATGCCAGCCTGAGAAAACGAATATAATGGGTTGTCTTACAGATGTGGAGGGCAATCTTTAATCAAGAGAACTGTGGTGACACTTTATTCTTGTCTGCTGACTGTTAATGGAAGGTGGAAGACCATTAAGAGTAGTGGTTAGAGCTGATGAGAAAAAGGTGCGATGTTTTCTAAATGGCTGCTTCAGGTCAGTAGGTGTGATGCCAATGTCATGGCACACAGCAAACAAAACTACTTTACACCTATGTGGGATGGGAATCTCACTGTCTTCTATGTAATATAATGGATACTTGATCACTGGGGCAGAGACTGTTTCCGGTAGACAAATGCCCTGTTTGCTGAACTCAACTGCTCCTACAGGTTAACTTGTTCAGTAGCGATCTTTCTAAGTAGGCAATACTATTTCCATTTCAAAGCCATTCATCTCTGTGTGGAACTTAAGGTCTGTTTTCATTCCATAGTTCATGTGACCCTGGCACTGAATTATGCTGTTTCCTCAGTTTCTAATCATGTAACAAGTAACAAGAGATCTGCACTATCTTTTTAACAATTAGAACATTAAAAAATTAAAACAAGTAGGCTATACTAAAACAACGCATTATTTATATCCACAAAAATCTGAGAAATTTGTTTTAAAATCTGTTTTAATGACTCCCTGAGAGAAGGTCACAGGTGAAGTCAGAGTAAATAGGTCAATGCATAAAGTAAAAAGAACTTATGGTATGTGTGATAATAAAAAAACCAAGCTAGCAAACAGAAGTAGCCGTGTTATACATCGGAATACCAAGCCAAATTAAATATAATCTGAGATATCTAAAGGAATTTGCTTGAAGTCTAGATAGGAAAGGATAGCGTGTACAATAACAGGAGCATGTGCTCAGGAGTGATTGTTTATGTAACCCTTACCACTCCCTCACTTGTATAAAGTTAAGAATGAGGAAACTTGGCAGGGAAAGCCTGCTACTGCACTGGGGCATCCCAGCTTCTGACCCTCTCATCTGGCTGCACACACTGGTGGAAGAGGCACTGTGTGCTCCATCTCACTATTACTACCCAGTTTAGGATTTCTCGTCCACTCTTTCTGCCTTAAAAAGCAGCGCCTGTGTCCCTAGGATTATATATGAGCCACCCTCACTTGGCTGTTTTCCTTTGCATGGTCTGTAGAAGCTGATGTAAAATGTGTCAAAGAAATACAAAGTAAAGATTCTTCTGTCCTTAACTTCACTTTCACAGAGAACTGCTCACTGAAATGGATGAGACTGCCAAGAGAGCAAAGGAACAAAGCACTTTTCTCAGCCTAGACACAGATGACTCCCCAGACCCCTGGTGCCCCAGGCGCTTTCCTGGGATCCAAGTCTACATGCCTTCCTGGCAACTGAGCTAATGCTATCCCTGTGTCCTCAGGCCCTGGCCCCAGAAACAGCCATCCCCGGCATTTGTTTATTTACGCTTACTTTATTTATTTGAACACTTCTGTGGGGACTTGGCTTGGGTAGTAGAGCACCTGTCTTGTAGATTCAAAGCCCTGAGTTCAAGCTAGTGCCAGTGGCTCACGCCTGTAATCCTAACTAATCAGGAGGCTGAGATCTGAGGCAGCCTGGGCAGGAAAGTCCATGAGACTCATCTTCAAAAAATTACCAGAAAACTGAAAGTGGTGCTGTGACTCAAGTGGTAGAGTACTTGCTTTGAGCTGAAGAGCTGAGGGACTGAGGGACAGTGCCCAGGCCCAGAGTTCAAGCCCCATGACTGACGAAAAAAATAAAAGCCCTGAGTTCAAACCCCAGTGACAACAAACAAATCAAAACAACATTGACTACATACCAGCCACTGTATTATACCACAAATATTAACCAATTTTATTATCACAATCTTATCACCTGTATTTTATGCCTGGGAAACTGAGGTAAACAGAAATCTCAAGGTTTCCTAATGTCACACAATAGGAAATGGCAGAATCTGCTGTTTTAATTACTCCATGGAGCTACATCTCCAAACTACTAAGTCCCTTCTGGGTCTAACTGCGAAAATGGCCCTTATACTTACTTGCCGTTCTCTCTGCTTCTACTTATACCACATTGGCTTAAGTATTCAGCAATTCATGTTTCAATTACTATAATAATCTCTTGCTGCTGTCTCCAAACCTCTTCTTGATTCATCCCATCCTTTCCAATGCTAACAGATTAGGTTAAAAAAGAGATAGAATTCTATCATGTTTCTGCTTATAATGGCTTTCACTAGTTCATTGTTGTTTCCTGAATTGTAAACTCCTTACTTAACAGAGTTCTTTATAATATGGCTTCAACTTGCCAATCTAACCTTTGGTTTTTTTAATATTTCAGTTCAAATGGACTAACTGCTGTACTAACTGCCCACATAGGACTTCTGCTTACCTCACATGGCTTCTTCCTACCCATAATGCTTTCAAGTCCTGCCTTTCCCCAACAAAGTCCCACACATCGGCAAAGATGTCTGAAATGCCATCTCTCCCACAGAGATTTTCTCAATCATATGTCCCTCCCTCTCCTTCTCCTTAGCTCTTCAATAATACCTATCTTCCCTTATTCTAGGGATGGTATGGTCCTGTCGTCTAGCTTGTGCAGTGTGATGGCTCTTGGGGAAAAGACTATGCTCATTCATTCTAACCTCCAGAGTAATAACAGAAACTTGCACATGGTAAATCTGCCATAAAATTTGTTAGATTTAAAAAAAAAAGGCTATGTGAGACTGAATATATAAGCTAGTGATATTCATTATTACCATGAATGATAAAAAAAGGAAATCCCTGAAATAAAGTTAATCCTTAAAAATACGAAAGTGCTTACAATGTCTGGGACTCCAGTGAATGACTGAGGCAGAAATTTCCCAGAAAAGTGAAATCATAAACCTTTGTACTTCACAATGAAAAGTAAGTCAAACATGTGAACAAGCACATGCCCAGATGAGACTCTTGGCTAACAGGATGTTACCTTGGCAACTGTTTGTTCAGCAATGGAGCTAGGCCGGCGCTGGCGACCGTCAAGTCTCTGCTCCACAGGAAAACTGCTCCTGTGTGACTTCAGGCGCTCCACCAACAAGAAATAAATGGCGGCAAAGTGGTTATAGCTTTTGTTCTGCAGAGACTGAAAGAGAAAAACAGTATGAAGGCAAAGAACTATACACCAATCCAACAATCCACACCTTTCTTAAGGGGAGGGAATAGAATCAGAAAGCAGCAAAGCATGCCTCTGGAAGGCCTAAAGTTTCGAGTCTCCAATTTAGTTACACAAAGGGCGGTTCCTTTAAGTGACTGGTCCTTTTCCATGATCAGGATCCATTTGTTTACTGCATTGAGAGAAAAGTGCCATCACTGTCTCATTAGACATTCCCAAAGCTGGCATATGGTCACCATCTCTAGCTCTAAATATGGCATAAGGTCATGAGCTCTACTGACTGAATCCAAATCCAAATAACTGAAAGTGAATGAACTAAAGAGAAGGGAATGATTAAAGACTTTGAGGAACATTCTGGAGATTATTTTGGGCTGGAGAATGACCTCTGGATACTAGATGGAGAGACACTATGTCTCCATTCTTAGGTAATTCTTTCCTCTTGTTTTTGCAGTCCCACCCTTTTGAAACCTTAAAAATAAACTTATTTCCCCAATTTTCGCATCTCTAGCCTGCCAGCTCTTCCAGGATGCGAATGCAGCAGAGACACAACTGTTCCTTTGCTTCTGATTTCACCCAGAGGTTTGCCCAGAAGCTGTGGAGGGCACCAAGGATGTGGTGCAAACTCAACAAAAGCCATGCACCAGAGCTGCTGATCCAGATGTACTTTGAGGTCAAGCGTAGAAAACATTATTACTGACACACCACAAGGAAAGCAAGAGGGCTTCAACAGGTGACAAGGCAGCATAAATCTGGTGCCTTGGTCTTTCACAGCTAGCAAGGCGCATTTGATATTCTTTCTGTGGCTGTTATGCTTCCTCCTTAGAAACACTTAAAAAATTATTTAGTAGATTAAATCAGCATACTTTTTTTTTTGGGGGGGGGGGTCCGGTCGTGGGGGTCTGAACTCTGGGCCTGGGCGCTGTCCCTCAGCTCTTCAGCTCAAGGTTAGTGCTCTACCACTTGAGCCACAGCACCACTTCCGGCTTCTTTCTTTTTGCTTATGTGGTGCTGAGGAATCGAACCCAGGGCCTCATGCATGCAAGGCAAGCACTCTACCACTGAGCCACCTTCCCAGCCCTTAAAGTAATGTGTACATTTTTTTTGGGGGGGGGGTCCGGTCATGGGGCCTGAACTCTGGGCCTGGGCGCTGTCCCTCAGCTCTTCAGCTCAAGGCTAGTGCTCTACCACTTGAGCCACAGCACTACTTCCAGCTTTTTTCTTTTTGCTTATATGGTGCTGGGGAATCAAACCCAGGGCCTCAGGCATGCAAGGCAAGTGCTCTACCACTGAGCCACCTTCCCAGCTCCCAGCAGGACTTTTTTAAACAGAAAATTTTTGTGACAGTGACATTACAGGAAGATGGCTTTAAGGCAGCAGGATAACCCTGGGTATGGGGAAGGATGCAAATGGTCACCACCTCACTCCATATTCAGAGACAAAAGCCTTGACCACCAGATGAAGAGCTACAAAGCTAACTCCAAAATGTAACTATATAAACATATATAAATACTGAAAAATAAACTGGGGAAGAGAGAGAAACCCTTGTTACAGAAGAATTCCACTTCATACATACTCTATTCCTGTGGTACTTAACCACCACCTTTCCTGGTAAATGGATGACATAATAACTTGCTTCCCAGGACAAGAGTGTGGAGAAAGGAAAATACTAACTTTACACTGGAGAATTCTGGCAGGTGAAAAGCCATGGCTTTCCTCCATTGTTGTAAAGGCATTAAAAGTATGTATACCCTATAAATATGCTAACTATTTGAGGAAAGCAACAAAAGGCAAGAGGAATTTCCCAGGTTCATGACCTTCTCAGTTATATGACCCATAATACTTCTAAATCAGGACCCCACCTGTTTCTGCCTTCTGAGTATCTCCAGTTCACAATCCACTGGCTTTCTTAAATCTGATGCTCTCCCTTCTTGTTCCCTGCTTGGCTTTCAGCCTTACTCCTTACCTGCACATTTACATTCTATGCAAATTAGTGTTAATACTGCTATGAAACTTCATGTTTCATTTTGGAAGACATTTTCTAACTTGAATTATTAAGTTTCCATCACTGCCATGTCTGAATCCTCTATAAACCCTCCCACTTGAACTTTTTGGCAGACTGAATTTAGACACAGTCTGATGTAATAGTAAGGGAACCCTAAACACTATACCTAGATGCAGGAGAGGCATGTGCTAGAAGACCAGGTTGATAGGTGTGAGCAAGTTATTGAGTTCAGAAGAGTACTAACACATCTTTAGTCAAATCTCTGGTGTTTTTACCTCAATGGTCTTCTGCTGATCTATCCCAAGGCTGTGCATCAATCGTAGAACCTGTTCATTATATTCCCCAATGGATGGCTCGTTTTCTTGCTCTTGTGGATAGAGAATAGGCCTCTGGATAGGAACTTCTATGAGCATCCACTTATGCTCCTTAATTTGAGCTATGGTTAGCCGTTTAGATGGGTCAAGGACCAACATCCTCCTAATAAGATGCTCACAATCTATAGAAAGCACAAGGGTACAACAGTCATAAACCTCCTAGCATTTCAGGGTTATTTGCTTGACTTAAATGACTTTACAACAGTGTTAATATTCTTGTTTTTGTTTTTGCCTGTCTTAGGGCTTGAACTCTGGGCCTAGTTGCTGCCCCTGAGCTTTCGTTAATGTTTGTATGCTTCACTGGAATGTAGGCGTGAAAGATACTGATTTGTCAAGTTCACATGGTGAACAAAAATACTTGAGAAAAACAGTAGGGTATGGGTCTAGGTGAGTCTGTGTGAAATCAGCTTTTCTTCTGAATTTCTCAACTAAAATTATCTAGTCACAGACTGAGATTTTCATTAGAAATAATCTGTCTACAATTGTACAACAAATAAATAATAAACTGATCCTCAGTCATATCTATAGCTGATTCACTAAGCCGAAAACCTTCCATGGATAAAAAAAACCTCTCATCAGTCCCACTCAGAAAAATGTATGTGGAAGGGTATTTTCTTGAGATTACACTCAACACAGCACTGCTGGAGCTCTGAGCACTAGCAATAACTAGCTCATACTCTGGGCTGACAGCATCATTCTCAGGTAAGCTAACTTCACAGAATTCTAAACTACAGGCACCATGCCAAGTGCTTTGGGAACTATTGTTACTGCCGTTTTTATAGATAAGGAACTGAAGCACAGGGAGAAATGACTTGCAGATGACAAGCAGGTAGTCTGGCTCTAGAGCCTACACTCTCAGTTACCCAAGATAATTACATCCACTGCTAGTAGAAGCAAAAGGGTGAAGGATGAATTGGGTACAGTGGCTCATACCTGCAATCCTAGTTACTTGGGAGGCTAAGATTGGGAGGACTGCAGTTCCAGGTCAGCCCAGGCAAAAAGTTCAAGAGACCTTATCTCAACCAATAGTGGGGAAGTGTTAAGCAGGGGGATCATGGTCCAGGCTTGAAAAGCCATGAAAATAAAAAGGGCTGGGTAATGGCTCAAGTGGTAGAAAGTTTTCTTACTAAGAGCAAGACCTGAGTTCCAGCCCCGGCATCACCAAAAGTTAAGAATGAGATTGTGAAATAAATTTAATTGTCACTGATAATAATTACCCAATACAAGATAGGTAGGAATTGTGATCTATCTACGTAACTCTCCAGAGTTCTGCCAGTTGGCTTTTAATTAAAAATATATTAATTTTGCAAACCCACTTCATACTTAGAGTAAAATGGTTGTGAACATGTATCTATGAAGTGTTCTTTCTGGAAGTCTAAAATAAACCTGGGACATTTATAGACTTGAGTGAATGTGAATGGGAAGACGTGCTGCTCTTAATCTGGGAAACTTCTGTTCTCAGTTACAAGGAAGCTTCTCTCATCTACATAGAGAGTAACTGCTTATTTCTATAGCTTTAAAAATGACTCAGTCATTTTCTTTGGTACTCTTAACTCTCAGGAAAAAGGGACTTTTTGCCCAGAAATTTCATGTCAGCACAAATTCTGAAAAGCATAGTTAGTAAGATGATTACTTTCTTACCTTCTGACATAAAATATGGAATCCGGAATCTTCCTTCCAAAACCCTCTGCCTCAAAATTGGCAGAGTGGGTCCATCAAAAGGCAGTGCTCCACAGACAAGGACATAAAGAACCACTCCCATGCTCTGGGGAAGAAAACAGGGCAGTCACTTTCCAGAGAGAACTTTAGACATGGTGCTACTAAACAACTCCACGAGTCTTTTTTTTTTTCCCCCCCAGAACCCAGGGCCTTGCACGTGCCGGGCGGGCGCCCTTCCGCTGGGCTAAACCCCCAACCCCATCTCCAGGAGTCTTGAGCTACTATGGTTGAACAATATCTGACATTCCCTGGTAACAGTAAGCATAATAAATCCTCAGTGATCTGAACTTGATCAGGTTGCTTACTACTTAACTGTAAATGCTCAGAAGGTAACACCTGTCCCCAGGGCCTTCCTTGGGGTCCACTTCAAGGGGCTCTAATTATAGTTCAGTGGGTGGGGAAATATGAAACACTGCTATGTGCTAAGCAACAGGAGCTTCTAAGATGGGCCAGGGTAGGAAGTATCATCATTACAGATAGATGTAACCAGCAAAGCAAAGCAATACCCAAATGTCCAGCTGTGGTCCTTCATACTGCTGCCCTTCAAACACTTCTGGGGCTGCATAAGGGGGGCTGCCACACCACGTTGCCAGCAGTTCACCACTTTTAAAGAAATTTCCAAAACCGAAATCTATTGGGATGGAAATAAATGTTACTTTCATCTATGTTCTCAAACTACACTGCATTTCTCTGTAGAAATTTTATGATCGGCTCTATGAACAAAGTCATTTCTACTCACTCAAGGAAGGACTGGGAAGACATCTATCTTGACATGTTTCCTTAGCAATAGCATGATGACCAACAAATAGCAAGTACTCAGAAAAGCTGTTGAACGAAGGCACCTGCGAATCAAGGTTCTCTCTCAAAGACAGAGTGAGAATTTGGAAAAAAGACTAAATCAAGGTTGCTTTTTTTTTTTTACTTTTGAGACAGGGTCTTGCTGTGCAAACCAGGCTGACTGCAAGCTCTGGCTCGCAAGGCCTCAGCCTTCCGAATAGGAGGCTTAGAAAGAGGCATCACCATGTCTATCTCAAACCACGTATGTGGAGCCATTATGAATTTGGTAATCACGGAATTTAATTTTTTACATGGTTTATAAGGAAAAAACAAATAGGTTAAGCATAAGGAAATGTCTGGCTGCTGTTATTGCTAAGTATCAAGATACATAACACGAGGCAACCGAGAAGAGTTTCCTAAGTACTCTATGTGTTGATCCATACATCCTGTTAGGCAGATACTCATCTAACAGCTCAGTAACATATGAATAAGACAGCCTAGTCACTAGCCACTTGGCATGATTTATGGAAGGAGATGGCATCATATTTCAGACAGTTAATAGCCTTCCCTTTATAATCTTAAGTCATACTGAATCTACAGCTTTTTTCTTCTGGGTAGTACTGGAATTTGAACTCAGTACTTCTCAATTACTTTGTTTGCTTACTTGGCTGGCACTCTACCACTTAAGCCATGCCTACAGTCCTAGTTTATGATGGTTATTTTGGAGTCTTACTGACTTTTGAACTTTGATCCTATAGATTTTGGTAGCAAGGATTACAGGCTAGCACCCCTGGTGCCCAGCTAGAATCTCTAGCATGGATTTATAGAATGCATTCTGCAGTTTCTGTAATCACAGGCCTATAATACACACAAGAAATCCAGTGATCTTTGATATAAATGTAAGTTGACCCTTTTGCTGTTTTTATATAGTCTCATGTTCTGACTGAAGCAACAAATGCTATTGTTTTGGAAGTTGTAATCACACTATCTTATGTTGTCATATATGCTTTGGGAATTGATAGGAACTGGCTCTACATCTAGCCAGGGCATAGCATTGCTGCAGAATAAGCATTAAGAGATGCCCCCAAGGGGACTGGATCCAGTCACCACTTACTGACTGGCTTTGGGACTTGGATCAGTTTTTTATTTTTGTCGGTTGTGGGGCCTGGGCACTGTCCCTCAGCTCTTCATCTCAAGGCTAGTGCTCTACCACTTGAGCTACAGCACCGCTTTTGGCTTTCTCGTGGTTAAGTGGAGATAAGAGTCTCATGGACTTTCCTGCCCAGGCTGGCTTTGAACCACGATCTTCAGATCTCAGCCTTCTGAGTATCTAGGATTACAGGCTTGAGCCACTGGTGCCTGGCTTAGATCAGTTTTAGTGTTTCCCTCAGGTGAAGATGCAACACTAAATGACACTAGTCAGCCGGTTGTACTGTGGCCAATGTGCAAATGTAAACTCACACTCTTTTTGCATCTTGAGACCAGGCACACATCTGAAACTCAGGAAAATATGTTTTTAGTCCAAGCTGAATATACTTTGGCTTGCTGACATAAGATGTAGAAGCAGGGGGCTGGGAAGGTGGCTCAGTGGTAGAGTGCTTGCCTTGTATGCTTGAGGCCCTGGGTTCGATTCCTCAGCACCACATAAGCAAAAAGAAAAAAGCTGGAAGTGGCGATGTGGTTCAAGTGGTAGAGCACTAGCCTTGAGCTGAAGAGCTGAGGGACAGCGCCCAGGCCCAGAGTTCAGGCCCATGACTGGACCCCCAAAAGAAAGAAAAAAGAAAAAAAAAAAAAGATGTAGAAGCAGGTAGCGATAATGGTAGTAAGAATAACCTGTAACTCCAGCATCATCAATTTGGAAAGAACTAGAGTTGACTTTCAGTTTTGCCACTTTCTAGTTTCAAGTCTCCTAGGAAGTTATTTAACTTTCCTCAACATTAGTTGCTAATCTCTACAAGTGGGATAATCTCCTTTCCAGATAGGATACTTTTGAGGATTAAATGCGATGAAGGATGTTAAACATCTGGAGCACAGATGGGAGACATTATTGCCAACTGTTGCCTTTCAGAGAAAAAAGTCCCAAGGAAACACAAAGGAGGAGAAGAAAAAGTGTAGTGGGAGTCTTGGGGTTCAGGAGACAAAGGGGTACATATACGTGGGGAAAGCCTGTGGAGTAACAGGATAGGTTTGCCACTACTCTCTTTACAGCGAAGCCTCATTTCAGTCCTTGATCTCACTTCCCCAAATGACCGTCAGAAGGGCCTGTGCTCCCTCCCTATCCCACGGCCAACTAATCATTCCTGCTACCTCATAATCTGTATGTACACACGTGTGTGTGTGTTTCTAGCTTTTTAGGAAAGCTATACTCTCAAATGAGTCAAGAACTAAATGTCCAAATTTGATTTATACAGGACAAGGTTAATTTCACTTAAAGAGAAGCCCAAGAAATTCTTGGATGTAGAGGGCCTTAAATAGGCCCAATAATGGCTGCACATTAAACCATAATCATAGGATGTTCTTTTACTGTATACACATTGAAGATACTCTCCAAATAGTACTGTAAATCTTCAGTGTCTCAAAGCACCCTTACAGAGCCATTCGTTCTGAACTCCCCATAGCCTGGTGGGATAAACAAAAGGGAATCACAGGGGTTGGAGGTGTGGTTTGAGTGGTACAACACCAGTCAATGAATAAAATGGTCAGATACCAAGTTCAAGTCCCGGTCTTGAACAACAGCGACAACAAAAGTCACAGGTAGAGCCTGTTGGGAAGGCAGCCTGGCTATCATGGCCTCTCAGTGGTACACTTCATAGCAAGAGAGCAAAACGTAGGGGAGAAGTACCATGTCTGTGTTAGGTAGTCCACTTGCAATCTTGGCTTTACAGATCTAGGACAGAAAAGGCTTCGATTTTACTCATAAGAAGAGTGGCATTAAGCAGACATTTAGTTCTTTTCTCTGTAACTGAGAACAATACAATATTAAAGGAAACAATGAAGCTAAGCATGGTGTCATAAACCTGTAATCCTAGCTACTCAGGAAGGAGACAGAGGAGAATCAGAGTTTGCAGCCAACCTAAGCAAAGAGCTAGTGAGATCTTATCTCAAAAAACAACTTGGAATGGTTGGTTGAGGCTCATAATCCCAGATATCTGTAAATTAGAGGCAGAAGGATTGAGGTCTGACTCAAGTCCAAGCAAAACACAAAATTTTATCTAAAAAAGGAATAAAAAGCTGGGTGCTGGTGGCTCATGCCTGTAATCCCAAATATTCAGGTTGAGATGTGAAGATCACAGTTCAAAGCCAGCTGGGGCAGGAAAGTCAGTAAGACTCATTTCCAATTAACTACCAGAAAACCAGAAGTGGTGTGTGGCTAGCTTTGGACAAAATGTCCAGGGACAGTACCCAGGCTCTGAGTTCAAGCCTTACAACCAAAATAAATAAATCAATAAATTAAAAAAAAATAAAAGCAAAAAGGACTACGCCTTAAATGATAGACCACTTGCCTAGTAAGTATAAGGCTCTGAGTTCAATCCTCAGTACTGCCAAAAAAAATTTTTTTTAAAGAAACATTGAAAGACAAGGTCCACTCAGCTATTACAATAATACATACATACGTAAGTCTCTAGACTCCAGAGCACCTCAGACATTGTAGTTGGAATTGCCCAATGAATGGATAAAGCACCTGGAATCAGGCAGATCCTGATTTTCTGCTTAGGCAGGTAATCTTGAGCAAGACAGCTCATTTCACAGAGCCTTGGTATCATTATTTGCAAAAGGGGGGACACTACAGTTCATGAAGTTGAGAATATTGATATAAGCAGGAGAAATATACAATGCTATTGAAAAAGTAAGTACTGTAAATGGTAGTGACTGCTGATATTAACAATAGTCATTATTATTGTACTTATCTGTTTTCCCCATCAGACTAAATTGCTGTAGTAGAATGGGGGAAAAAAGTCTGCATATACAGCCCCACAGCATGTAGTTGGCAGTCTATAGCTGTCCAATAAAGATTTGCTGCACCAATACTTTGTTCTTAATCTCTTTCTCCTCTTTTTTTTCCAATGTTTGTGATCAAATTCAGTGTCTGCACACAAAGCTGAGCTCTACCACTGAACGACAGCCTAGCCCATGTCCTTACCTTTTTTAAAAGAGTTTTTGTATTTTTTTTTTCAGTTGGTAATTTAAGCTTTTAGAGGAAGACTTCTTAGTAACCGTATAAAGGAGGGAAGAACATTCCCTTGCTAGAGGATGTACGGCTAACTGGCATGTGGCAGAACTGGAACAGAAGGCAGGTTTGACTGCAGAGCCCTCACTGTTAACCACCACCTTTATGTCCTTCCCTGGCACAGTGACTTGGAGCTATTTTTGATCAAGTTAATAACTGTCAAGTTTAAGAAGTGGCAATGGGAAGGTATTTAAAAATACAAGTCTTTTTATTTCTCCATAGGCGTATGGATAATTTTCTTTATTCTCAGCCTACAGCTTTCTGCCAAAATTATATAGTAAAGTAAGGAATAAATGAGTGGCTGCAACATGGAAATTCAGGATTTGTTTCTTATCACCTTACTAATGGACTATGCAGTTGGCCTTCAGTATTTATGGGGAATTGGTTCTGGGAATCTCCATGCATGTAAAAATCCACAGATGCTCAAATCCCTTATTAGTGTAGCATTTGCATACAATCTACACAAATTCTTTTTTTTTTTGGTCCGGTCGTGGGGCCTGAACTCTGGGCCTGGGCGCTGTCCCTCAGCTCTTCAGCTCAAGGCGAGCGCTCTACCACTTGAGCCACAGCGCCACTTCTGGCTTTTTGCTTATGTGGTGCTGAGGAATTGAACCCAGGACCTCAGG